ACCATCAAAAATACATGTTTTCCGATGGTCTTAGGTGACCCCTGTGAAAGGGTTGTTAGACCCCCCCCAAAGGGGTCATGACCCACAGGTTGAGAACCACTGCCCTAGAGAGTTGTCTGTGCTTTGTCTGTTCCCTGACCTGGCCTACCTCAAGAGCTGACAGTAGGCTAGCATAACAAATAGACCTAAACAGATCCCAATTCCTTACAACATCGTCAATCACATTGTAGATGAAGTGCGCTAGATCGTGCTGACAACAAAAATTGCATAATATTAAAAATGGTATTTTAAAAAATGGTACAGTTGAAAACTTTAACCTGGCTGAGTTGTGGGCTGGAGATGAGATAATAACTATTTAATGAGAACATGTCTTATTAAACTATTGAATTCATGCAATGGTTTTGGTGACAACTGGGGAACCTGAAGATGAGCATGAGTGGAATTCAATAAGCTAAGCCCGGCCATGAAAAAGGATATGTCAAGAGCAAAATAAAATTATTTATTTTTTCTATTTCTTAAAAGCAAAGACTGGAACTAGACAATCTCAGTATACAATATTTACCCAAAAGGAAGATGGGGATTTTTTTTTCCTTCAAAAAACTATTTGTGATTTGGGGGAAAAGGGTAATCTTACCTTAGAACCAAAAGAAAAAAGAAAAAAGGATAAGAACAGAACTATTGAAAATTAATACAAGATGCAAATTATTGCAGATACTGCAAAACCTGAATACTTAAGATACAGTAGTATTCCTGCCCCTAACAATAAGCCAGTCCTTCCAAACATTTAGCGAATTCACCTTAGCCATTGTTTTTTCTACTTTCCACTTTTCCAGTCATTTTGCCCAAGTTATTATTTGCTTGCAGCACATGCCCAATGTATATGAATTTCCACTTGCTGATAATTATCTCAAGGGGGCAGTCGGCCAGCCTTTATTTCATCCAGGTTGATTGGTTGTTCTTGCAGTCCATGCTAGTCTTGGTGAGTGTCTCCAAATCCATAATCTAAAGTCATCTATGTTCTTTCTTTCATTCTAAATGTTCATCTTTTACAATCAGATGGTACCATTGGAAAAATCAGTACTAACACTGTCTTTGTTGCCAATTAAACATTTTTATCATCTATTAACTTGTCTGTCATTGCATTCCTCAAGGAATTATTTCTCTTTCCTTTTCTAACACACTTCCATTTTTTAATATTCTTGACTCGAGAAAATAAAATTGTCTAGCATCTTCAAAATAAAATTGTCTAGCATCTTCAAAATAAAATTGTCTAGCATCTTCAAAATAAAATTGTCTAGCATCTTCAAAATAAAATTATCAACAGTGAATTCACTAAGCTTGCTGATTGACATTACATTTGCCACCTTAACTTTTAACATTAATATCAGTGTTTCACTTTTGTTTTCATAAAGAGTTCTTCTAATAGTTTATTTTCAGCTAACAAGGTGATGTCATTTATGCATTGCCAATATTTTTGACCTCTAATTTTGATTCAAGTTGTCACCTCTTCCAAACTAGCGGTTCTTATGTTTATTTTATTAAGGTAACCAGATGTGGAAACAATATGCATCCTTGTTTTGAACCACTTTTTTAAAAAATCCTGTTTTCTTATAGTACTTTATCTTTTTTTTTGAGTGATATTCCACATTTTGTTTTAATATACCAGTAAGGCTCCACAAATTAACTACATATGTGCCCCCAGATACCTCTTAATTTAACTCAAATATTTTTATATTAGTAAGTCATGGTCTATTCCACTATCTGTTCCTTGAAGTGTCTTAACTGAATGGATTGGATTTCTCCACTTGTTTCTTTTATATATCCATCTTGATTCTAATGTTGTCCTTTAGTGATGTTCATGTGTAGAGTTTGTCCACAAATGTTTACTGAAGATAAAGAATAATCTTAATTAAATTCTAATGACTTATTGCCTGCATTGTTGCATTGGCTCCTTCCAAATGTTTGTGTGACTAAAAATTCTTCCATTATTCCAAGGTTTGCACTTAATTACCTATTTTAATACAATATTGTCTCTTAATGCTGCATTTAGTATCTCTTGCAATTGTGTAAAAATTGTATTAACTGTATTTCCACTAATTCTATTGGGTTATAGCACTTGCTAGAAAGCCAGCTTGGTGTAGCTTTTAAGGCATAAGGCTAGGAACCAGGAGGCCATGAATTCTAATCCTACCTTAAGCACAAAGCTCTCTCAGCCCTAGGAAAGTGGCAATAGAAAACCATTACTGAAAATCTTGCCAAGAGAACTGCAAGGACTCGTTCATACAGTCATCCAGAGTAAAAAAAACTGACTTGAAGGAGCCCAATTTTTTTTAAGAAAAGGACATATTTAACAATATATTATTGCCTCTTGATCCCTTCATATGGATATAATTTTTATCATATAAATATCTAGTTCTTACCTCTGTGTGTGCACCCTTGCTTATTTCTTTATTTACTCATTATGTTCCTATATTAATGGATTCAATAAAAATAACTCCTGGCACTGGTGGTTCACAACATAAAGGCCCATAAAAATACAAGCCTCCGTAAAATGATGGCCAATGATCTTCCAAAAACCCATGGGACATCTCTGTCTTTCTCAGATTTCACAAGACCAAGAGTAAGCATCCAAATGTAACTTAAAAAGATCTTATTTGATTCATAGTCAGCCTGACTTTACAAAAGCTTCTTAATAACTTCTCAAATTCTTCCTAAGTATTACAAACCAGATATTCCTTCTCAGATTTCATTTTATTGTTTAGGAGTTAAGAAACTGCTAATCTATATAAAACACAATATCTAGTAACTGAACAGATTAAGTAGAAGAATTGTAACTGTAATGCAGTGTTTTTTTTTAAAAAAAATTGTTTAATTGCCTCCAGCAAGGCAAATATTATCTGTAGAGACAATGTCTTCCTTCCTCCCTCCCTCCCTCCCTCCAAGACTCAAATCTTCCAGAAGAGATTTGCAAGGTTTGTCGATCTCTCTCTCTCTACCTACAGAAAGATATCCAAATTATCATATTTTTCTTGGCATGTTCTCCCAGACACAACAAGATTATATCCTTAGTCCTGAATGGTTTCTTTGTCTGAGGTTTCCTTTAGAAAGGAGAACAGAAAAGGGAGAAGCCAAAGCAAATATATAAATATTTACTGAATTATACAAAGTGAACAGAGACTAACCCCTGACTGATCTCATTGCTCTGGACCTACAAAATTTATTTTATTTTATTTGTTTGTTAAACATCTGCACGATAACAAGTATAAGTATGAACATGAACAAAAGAAGTAAATACAGATAAATGGGGACAGTAAGACAGGGATGGTAGGCACACTGGTGCACTTATGCATGCTTCCTTTATATTTCAGCCCTGTTTATCTAGGTAACAGTTCTTAGATTTCCATCAAGGTCATCTTATATACACTCTAGAATTACCAATGGATTCTAGCCCACATCAGCAGTAGTGAAGCTGGTATTCAGAGATGATTTCAGAATTTCTTAGTGTGGAGTTCTCCACTATCATCATGCCAGGTAAATGTTATCTGCTTTGTGTTTTAACAGGCATCCCAGCAGCTGCCTACTAAATAGTTTGACATCTGGGGACTTCATGGGCATACCAATGAAAAGGGAGTGGGGGGTCCTTTTAGTTTCCAATCTAGCCTTGGGATTTGATGATAGTAGCCGCTCAAATATCTATGTAGTTTAATCTTGCCCAATTTCTTAAATACCTTTCTGACCTGCTAGCTATTTTGAACCCGAGTATCATAAAGGATGCCGTATTTCTGCATTCTTCCTAGATTTCCCTTTCCCCCCTATTCATGGATAACCACACTTGGGAAGAAAAATCTGCATATTGGAACAGACTCCAAAAAAAAAAAAAAACCCACCACCATTCCAGTGTTTGGAATGAATTGTTATTGTTGCTGAAGGAGTAGTGGGGCAAGTTACAGCAGGCCGTTAATTAAAAGGCAATATTTGGAAGCCGTGCAGAGCTCAAGCTGTCCCTCCCCACATTTTAACAGCTGTAGGTTAACAACAAACTCTCCTTTTCCAAGCACGAAGATGCACCTGTTGATTTCCCACCCACCGCGTTAGAGGTAGGCGCGGGAAGAGCCCTGCCAATAAAAAGCGCTCCTGCTGCCTTTTTGCCTCCAAAGTTGGACTGCGTTTCCAGATTCCCAGCATGTCCACCTAAGATCTCCCCCACCCCCGCCGCAAACACACATACACACACTCTCAAAACTCCATCGCCCGAGGGATCGAGTGTCCCACTCGGCGCCCCTGCTTTCCTGTGCGTGGGACCAGCAGGTCTTCCCCTAGAAGTTAACGCGATTCAAGGCGGGAGGGAAAAGAAGCCGCAGCCAGCTTGCTGAGGGGCTGATGGGTGTTGGCAACACCGCCTCCTTCCCGTCCTCCCTTCCTTCCTCTCTCTCGGGGCTCCGAGGCTTGTCAGAGGCCTACAGCCTCAGTCTCCAAGCAGCCGCGGCGGGCGGGGGAGCGAAGTTCCAGAGGCGGCCACGGCACGCGTGTCGCCGAAACTCGCCTCGCACCTCCGCCACTTGCTCGGCGGCGAGGCGCTCCGCTCGGCTTCCTCCTTCAGGCGGCACCTGCTGCTGCTACTGCTGCTGCAGGAGCAAGCAGCGGCCAAGGGAGGGCCGGCTTCAGTATTTCCTGTGGAAATCCCGGAGCATTCAGCTCCTCCTCTCGATTCCTCCCCCACCCCCGCGCGTGTTTGCGGGTTGGGGATTGAGGAAGGAGCAGAGCGCGTTGGCTGTTGTCGCTTCTGCCTTCTGCGTCTGACCGCCTCCCCCCCACCTTCCTCCTCCCCGACCTCCTTGTCGCTTTCGGCTGTGGCGTCCCGGCGCGGCCACCCACCCACCCACCCCGGCCTCCAGGAGCAGCGTCCTTCCGAGCCGGCCGATCTTCCCGCTTCCCCACGCGCGCCCCCTTTGCGTCTCCGGAGGGGAAAGGGGGAAAAAAAAAAGCAAGGGGGGCGCCGGGCTCCCGCAGCGCTTCCCCGATGGGCAGTTTGCTGAGCGGAGTCAGCTTCAAGGAGCCCACCACGGTGGAGGACTGTGACTCGACCTGGGAGACGGATTCGGAGCCGGAGCTGCAGGACCCAGGCGGGGAAGAAGGACAACCGCTGGAACAAGCGGGCGGTGGCGGCGACGACCCAGCGGCTGACCGGCAGCAGCAACAGCAGCAGCAGTCAGAGGAACCGCTCCCTGCGGCATGCAGCCGGCCGGAAGCCGCCGAGAAGCGCGAAGGGGCTGCTGAGGAAGAGGAGGAGGTGGTGGAGAAGGAGAAGGAGGAGGAAAAGGAAGGAGGAGACGGGGTGGCCGAAGAAGACGAAGCTGAGGGCAGGGAGCAGGGAGAGACCGAAGCCCCCGGGCCCGAACAGGTAACCCGGGACCCTTGCAAACTTCTGCCGGGGGGCGGGTTGGCGGGCTGAGAGGGGCGCGCTGGAGCTCTTCCTGGGCGCCGCTTGGACGGGGCCACCGGCCCTCACCTTGGCAGCGCTGTGCTCTCTTCCAAGGTTGAGTATCACTTTCCTGGTACGGGCGTGCGGATGAGGGCTCGTGGAAGCCAAGGTTACAAAAGCTGCCCGGCGCCATTCATTTTGGGCTCCTTTTCACCCTTGCCCCGGCTTTTCCCCTTCGCTTCCTCCCTCCGCACCCCTTTAAATATTTGCATGCTTTGGTGACTTGGAAGCTAGGCGTGTCTACGGCATTCCCCCCCACCCCACCCCCGCCTCGGTGTTAGAAAACGGGCTCGACGGGTAGGAGAGGTAGAGGGAAATATCGGGAGCGCGGGGTTAGTTGGCCATCTCTTACTCCAGCCGGTCATTCCGTCTGGGTTTGGTTTTTTTCCTTTCCTGTTGCTCCCCGAGGCACGGTTGTGGAAAGAGGAACTATGTGGAGTGGGGTTGGGGTTTATTGCTTTCCTCCTTGACAGACTGAAGAAGCCGGCCTGGTGTCTCTTGAAAAGATTGTGGTGGTTGTTAACATTAAGAATCACAATTCATGCCCAATCCAAGTTGCTTTCCCTCTGCAGCCTCTACTTCAGAGAATGGTGTGTGGGAAGGCAAAATGCAGTTTCAGAACTAGATATGCTTGAGGGTCTCGTTGAGAGCAACCATTTCTAGGCTTTTACCTATCCCACCGACATGACTTTCACTGTATAGAACTAAAATAACTTAATAGAACAGACTTCAAGAGATAATATATTGCTGTTCCCGCTTTCTGCTTTTATCAAATTCTCTGATGGTTCCTTTTCTTTAAAAAGAATGGTTATATATTTATTTTTATACTCTCCTGGGAAATTCTTTAGGAAGAAGTCAGCTTTCAGTAGTGTTTTCAATTCACAATCTTAATGTGTTAAAAGAAAATAATTGCAAAATGTCTATTTTGACTATTTGAATATAGCACTGTATTATGACTTCTATAAAAAATATAGGAGTTAAGACACACAGGGCCAAATTTCAGAGAGCTTTACATTCAAGATTTTCATACACACATACACACATTACATTCAAGATTCTCTCTCTCTCTCTCTCTCTCTCACACACACACACACACACTCTCTCTCAAATACACACACACCACTAAATTTAATGAAATTAAAACATTTCTGGAATTGAGCAAAGGACAAGATATATAGTAATAAATCTTTATGGGATGATAGAATTCAGATTACCAATTTCTCTTAAAATATGGAAAAAAACATTCTATAAAGGCTATACTATAAAATTTTCACTATTATGTAATCATTATTTTTGAGCAGTTCTATCGTCTCTAAACATCTATTTTGGTTTTTGTTTTATTAAACTTGAAAATTTATACTATGCAGTTTTCAAACTATATTGTAGTTTCTAAATTTGAATTTTAGGTATAAGAAAACTTAATTTTGAAAATATAATTTCTACACTGAATTATGAGTTCCTTTGCAACTACTTCTCTTAGCTCTCCTTCACAAACATAAGTATATTTAAGTTACTGTGTCCTTTTTTGTTAACATTATAGTTGCTTTAAATAATTCACCTTTTGGTGATGGGTAGAAAGGCAGGATATACATATACAATAGCAAAGTACACAGTTGCTATTGAGAAAATTTCCTAGATGAGTCCATGAAGTCTTCAAGATTTGAACTCTTCAAGATCTGAACTTTCATTTGACTTGAATTGACTATAGCAAATAATCTATGGAACTCTATTTGCCCTAGGCTCGAGGACTTTGGAATTATTCAGGCAAAACTTAGTCTGGCATTATAAATTTACTATCCCTCTCCTGGCACACATTTGAATTTCAGTAATCATTTTAAATCCACTTGCATAATGTTAATAGTACTAGAATCATATTGTTGTAATCCTCAATCATTTCTTTCACTTACACATACTAGTTTATAAGGGGCAGGATCTAGTAGAAACCTTGCCACTGAAAATAACCACTGCCCAGAGATTCTCAGAAAATAAACACAGTTTATAGCTAAAGATTGGTATTACCTATGTCTTTAGTAATTAATCTCTCTATATAAAAGCAAAATATCACTCACACATCATCACAAAATCTCCAGAACTGTAAAGCCTACAAACTTGAAATTTGGCACATAACAGTATTAGTTTGCCTCTTGGCTTCTAGGTGCTAAGAAAGGGTTTTACGAAATGACCATTAGTATTTCCTATATAATTATTAACATGCTGTGATGCTAAGGAGCATACTTCCCCTCTAATACTCCCCCTCCCCACCTGAGAAGAAATCTATTCCAAAATCAAAACACAAGCAGAGGAATTTCAGTTTTAGTTTCACAGCACCAAGCAGCTTTAGTACAGAACAGTTGAGCTAAGCCACGCCCAGGCTCCTTGCTGTTTCCTTCTTGCTCACATAACAAATACTGCTTCAGTTTCCAAACAGCCCTCAACTCTCTCACAAACTGACAGGATATTAGCCAGATGAATACCGATGGATCCTGGTAGGCAGGGGCAGAATTTGTTTTCTTTACTTTCCTCCCCAAAAACTAAGCCCGACCACATAGTTTCATAGCGAAGCATCGGTATCGAGCTAGTAGCTATATATTTCTTAAAAGATGCATCCCCAAGAAAGTGTCTAAACATATGCATAAAAGTCTTCATTCCAAGGTGTTTGAGATAGACAGATAGATCAATAGATATTTTAATTCAACATTGCCCAACTCTCAACAACTCTAGATAATGAGAAAAATAATTAGTGTTACTTAAATTGTAAAGGAAGACTAATAAAACTGTTACAGAAACAGTAAGATTATAATGTGATACAATACACGATACATAACAATGCAGTAGTATTAGTTTGCCTGGATATCTTCTTATGCAGTTGGTAAAGTTCCTGACTAGCTGAATATTTGTTGAGATGCAGAGATGCAAACCTCTCTCTCAGCTTTATTCTGGATCTCTGGGAGGCTCCAATCTTTAAAAATGATGGATAATGATTAAAGTGCTTTATCTAATACAATGTGGTTAAGAATAGAAGTATGACTAATGAAAAGAAGAACCACTAAAACAGAAAGGATGCCAGCCTGTGTGCACTTACGTGGGAGTAAGCCTTCTTGAAAATAATGTGACTGATTTCTGAATAGATATACTGTATGTAGGACTGCACTGTAAGGATGCTTATTAGTTCCTAATCTGCAGCTCTGAACCAAACCCCAGCTGAAGTCTGTGTGAATGTTACTAACTTCAGAAAACAACAACCCTGATTCTGGATATGCAGTTGCATATTCTTTCGTAAACATAAATAGCTACTTTGATCATTTAAAGTCTTCATGCAAGTGTATTTAATATTTACAAATATTTTACTCAAAGTATTTCTTGGACTAGGGTCAGTTTAAGTCACCAGGCAGACTTGACTTACAAACACACACACACACAGAGAGAGAGAGAGAGAGAGAGAGAGAGAGAGAGAGAGAGACATCTTATTTAATTAATGTCTTGAAGCCATCGGAATAGCTACAGATAGTCCTTGACTTATGACTACAATTGAGCCCAACATTTCTGTTGCTAAGCGTGACAGTTGTTAAAAAGAGTTTTGCCCCATTTCATGATCTTTCTTGCCACACTTGTTAAGAGAATCACTATAGTTAAGTTAGTGACACAATTGTTAAGTGAATCTGGCTTCCCCATTGACTTTGCTTGTCAGAAGGTTGCAGAAGGTGATCACAGGACAATACAACTGTCATAAATTTGAACCAGTTACCAACTGTCCGAATTTTAATCATCTAACTATACGGGTATGCTGCAACGGTTTTAAGTGTGAAGAACGGTCATAAGTCACTTTTTTCAGTGCTGTAGTAACTTCAAATGGACACTAAATGAATGGCTGTAAATCAAGGGCTACCTGTAGTTTGGGAAATTTAATTTGACTGTGTCATCATCAGTCCCACATGCTCAGTATGAAAGATAAGCAAAGATATGGATTCAGTCACTAGGACATATATGGTACATTATTTTGCTTAAGGACTTTTTCTTCTTGTCGGATAAAATATTTGCAACATCATTCTTGTTAGGAGGAAAAGTTACTTCAAACCGAATTCCACTGGTAGTTTCATAGACACATTCATGTAATTTTCTTGGCAACTGTACATAATTTGGTCCCCATTGTTTTTTTTTCCTGGGGTAGGTTTTTAATTTTTGCAATCTAGCCTACAACCTTGTTCCTTCTTAGTGGTCTCCTAACCAAACCTGCCTATATCAGCTGAGTGCAGGAGATTGAATGGTATCAAGTATTTAAGCAGGTTTTCAAGAATACGAGAAAGACACCTATTTTTAAAGTGTTCGTTATTCTATAGATACCGTAAAGAAAATATTGGTGATCCCAATCACCATTAATTATAAAAATTAATGTGAAATTACAGGTGTGTGTGTTAATAGAATAGGAAATGAACGGTGCAAAAATTTTGAACATTCGAATTGGTTTGGAATAGTTAATGCTTTAGTCCAGTGTCTCAGTCATACACTCATAACTTACTTACATATTAAAATGAGGTCCCCAGTATAATAAGAAAATGAAATACTCTTTTGTGAACTACCTGTTCACAATAAAACTACTTCTACCTGTTGTTGTTATGTTTTATGTGACGGTTTATTCAAGTTAGCTTTGAGTAGGGGAACAGGTGTACCGAGATATATTGCTCTTCTGTGTTTCAAGGTTCATACAATATATTCCTCTCTAAAACTGCTTTTACCCTTCTCCAGAAATGTGTGGTTAAATTTATTCCAATATGACAGGGGTGTCAAACTTGCAGCGTCACACTGTCATCATGTGATATATTGTGACTTCCCCCCACTCTTTGCTAAACCAGGGGTAGACGTGGCCAGTGCGTGATACATCCAGCCCACAGACCACGAGTTTGACACCCTGCAATACAATGTTAATGCACAATATGATTTCTTCTCCTGACCTCTTTGTAATTCAACTCATACTTTCTGAGATCCATTCTGAAGGATCTCCAAACCTCCAGAACAGAGAAAGGGTAGCTGCTCTATTGACACAAACCAAACATCAGCAGGAAAAAAAAAGAATCTTTCACCTCTGGTGATATAGACAACATACATGTTCAATAAATCAGTATCACATCCTATCTTATAAATTATTAATATATGATTTTTTCCATGGATAATAATTGTTTTCAGTTACAGTTATTGGTTCAGGTAGTCCTCAACTTATGACTACAATTGATTCTAAGATTTCTGTTGCTAAGTGAAACGTGTGTTGTTAAAAGAGTTTTGCTCCATTTTATGACCTTTCTTGCCAAAATTGTTGAGTGAATCACTGCAGTTGTTAGGTTAGCAACACAGTTGTAAAGTGAATCTGGCTTCCCCATTGACTTCGTTTGTCAGGTCACAAAAAGTGATCCCATGATGTCAGAACATTACAACTGTCATAAATATGACATCTGAATTTTGATCACGTAACCATGGAGATGCTGGAAGGGTGTGAAAAACCCTCATAAGTCACTTTTTTCAGTGTCATTGTAACTTTGAAAGGTCATTTAGTGAACTGTTATAAGTCGAGAACTACCCGTATTCCATTTATAGCACCAGTTCTGTCATATTTCCATGTTATGAGGTACTTGGGGTGTCTAGAATACCTTAGTTATAGGAAGGTATTGAATGACACCATTTGGACTCACGCAGATCACAAAGCTCCTTTAAGTTGATGTAAATTGTAGCATTTGACTATCCACGAACAATTAGTTAGCTTTATTATGCTGCTTTGGTACCAGAAATAGTCACTTCATTTCGTTCGTTCGTTTGTTCGTTCTGTCATTCAATTTCTATAGCTGCTCACTTCAGTCAATGACTTTGGGTGGTTTACAGTTCAAAAATATATTATCATTAAAATACTAAAAACATTTTAAAACAATAAAAAATAAAATCCAAAATTAATATACATAGCAGCCAAGATATTTGGCCAGCTAGCAATAAAGCTAGGAAACAGAGGGGCCCTTGATACATTCAGCACCACAGACACAGGAACATAGGCAGGTTATTAGAAGGTGATTATGAAAGGCTGACAAGGTTGGAGCCATTCTAATCTCTAAAGGAAGAATGTTTCATAGAACAAGGGCCACTGTGGAAGGAACTCTTCTTCTGGTCCCCTCAGCAGACACTCTTTGGCTGATGGGATCTGCAGCTTGCCCATTCCAATAGATCGAGTTGGATGGATAGAGACTCTTGGAAAAAGGTGTTCCCTTGGGTAACCTATTAAGGTCACCCCATCCCTATTGAACAAAAAGTATTAGTAACTAGCAGATTATAAACAAGAATTCTAAGCATCTTAATATTCTAGCAAAAGAGTTGAGAAAAAAAGAACTTTAACAAATATTTTCAAAACTCCAAATCTGGAACTGAGACCATAAGAATGCTGCATAATTCTTACATGTTTTTTTAATGTTGTTAATAAAGAAATACGTCAGGTTAATTTGTAATACAGAATGGTTTTATTTTTTTAATATAATTGGTCAGTGATTACTCAAAAATTGGTGCTTATTTATATATCATAGTTGTTCCAACTTAATCATCACAGGAGTTCACAGGACTGTCTGCAAAGTCCCAGTTATATGAAAATTATATGACAATGTAAATATGTGATAGTTCCTGCGTTAATTAGATACATATAGGTCCTCTGATTTCCATAATGACAATTGTTTCAAAAAGCAGGAACACCACAATAAAACCTATAACATTTACATCTATACCTTTGTTTATATACAAACTGGGTTTATATAAAAATTGGATTCGTGTCAGGTGCGAACAAATGGACCCTCATGTCTGATTGCTACTTTATTGTTCTATGCCTATTGCACAGGAACCTCCCCCAATTGGTAGCTTTCACCTGGGAAAGAGTAGATAAGATTCAAATGCATTGGCAGGACGGGGTCAAACCTTGGCCTCTTGTGCTTACATAATGAGTCCAGACTGATCCCCTGCTTAAGTCCCTCTCTCGATTGAGACAGTTGTTCTCGAACAATTATTTACTCAGTTTCTATAACCATTTCAATCAACGACTCTGTTACATTGTTTACCTTAGTATGTTACAATCTGGATTATAAGCATTGTATGCCATTTAGCACAGTGTATAAATTTAATCCAAGCTGGTTTATTCAAGTAATTTCTTGAGAAGGGTAACCAGACTGAATAGTGCCATTGCTTGTTATCAGAGCCATAGAATGGGAAACATCATATCTTAGTCTTGACGACAAATAAGATTCCTTGAAAAATCTTCCTGATACACATAGCTGTAAAACTTCCATGTTGCCTACTTGTGGTGTTCATTAACATTTTGTTGGAGTAGTCATATCTGGAATTGGTAGACATTAAGTAGAGTTCTTTTGGAAGATCCTCCAAGCTTCAGCAGATCTGGGGTGGAAGATGTAAGAATCATGGTTGGAGAGGATCTCAAAAACAAGAGAAAAAGAATCGGGGTGGGGTAGGGAAATGGAAGACTGGAATGTACAAAGAATTCAAGTGGAGATGTAGAAATAATATAAGTTCATGCTGCCAAATGTGCCATAGACAGGTAGTCCTTGATTTACAACCATTCATTTAGTGACTGAAGTTACAACAGCACTGAAAAAAGTTACTTATGGCTGATTCTCGCACTTAGGTTTGCCACAGTGTTCCCCACAGTCACGGGATCAAAATTCAGACTCAACTGGGATGTGTCTATGATGGCTGTGATGTTCTAGGATTTCCAGCTGCAGCTTCCAACAAGCAAAATCAACAAGTCTCCATCACTTTAACAACAGCAGCATTTTCTTAACAATCATGGCAAAAAAAAGGTCATAAAATCAGGTTTGACTCACGTAACAACCATCTTGCTTAGCAGTGGAAATTCTAGTCCGAGTTGTGGTTGTAAATTGAAGATTACCGGGTAGGAGGATTTAAATTAAATGGTTATGCTCATTCTGCTGTTTCTCACTGATATATTTTTTTCTTGCTCTTTCAGGGGGATGATTCAGTTGATGTGACAGCTAAACCAAAGAGAAGTTTTTATGCTGCAAGAGACTTATATAAATATCGTCATCAATATCCAGTAAGAACATTTTGTATTCTGGGAGATTTTATTAAAATAAAGTAGTATTAAACTTAAGTTCCGTTGCAGTTCCATGGGAGACCATTAGTTTTTTAGAAAAAATTATAGTGACCTTGGAAGTTGGATAATGGGGGATATTGGTGAATTCTATCAGCTCCCATAATTGTAATTTTGATAGGTGTTATTAAAATACAAGCATTCCAAATATTTATTAATTGTTTTTCTTAATGACACCTGTATAGAGAACTCAGCTGGGGAACAGTTACAATTTCTTAGGTTTTGCATTACAAAAGTTTATTATAGCTTCCATGTTGATTGAAAAAAAAAAGTTTATTGCAGAAAAGCCCAAGATTTAAAATTAAGAAACACAACCCCAACCAGTGCAATTACTAATTTGCCTCTGTTACATAACAAATGGAAGTCCAAAAAAAATGACAATCTAAAAAAAGAGAAGCTGAAAAGAGCTTGTAATCATTTTACCATTTATTTTATGTGTCAACTATTTGAGATAAATGCTTACTTGAAAGCAAGCTTTCTTTAACTTTAGTGGTTTTCTTTATCCTCTGAACATGTTTAAGATTGATTGATTATGTGTCGTCAAGTTGTTTTCAACTCCTAGTATCACATAGATACACTCTTATATTTCTGAGACTTAAGACTGGTGGTCTGCGAGGAAATTGTGGTTGAGAAATGTCACCCCCAGAGCACCCCCCCCCAAAGCAATTAATCCAGGCTGCACAGGAACACAAGGCTGCGCCACCCACATGGTCCATGGGAACCCTCCCCACCCACTCACTCCAACTTGTGGTATCTGGCAAACTTGCCTACTAAGTTGCTATTTTTCCTTTTTTTTCCCCAACCATCAGCTGTTCTGGGAGATTTAGATTAGCTAGAAAGCAGGAAATCATTGGATTTCTTGCTTTCTAGCTAATCTTTAGATCTTCCTAACCTTCCCTGGGCCCGAAGCTTCTATTATTCAGTGCATAATCAGGTAGCCAATGGCAGAAAGATAGATGTCTGAATGAATCTGTGATTCTGTGAGCAACTCAATCTGACTGCCTGCTTTGCCTGATTTGGGGTAAAAGTTGTTCACTTTTTTATAAAAAATTCAATATTTACATAAATATTTATAATATTTACATACAAACCATGCCCAGCCAGTCACATGACCAAGCCACACCCACAAATTAGGCCATGCCTACAGAACCAGTTGTTAAGAAATTTGAATCCCATCCCTGCCTCTGTGTGCATGTGTAGATGTGGGTGTGTGTGAGAGAGAGAGGGGAGAGGGAGAGGTTAGATCAGATCTCGATCTCTTCCCCTCCCCCCCAAACGTCAGCAAACCACAGTCAGTCAAAATTCGTATTAGTGGTCTTCGGGATTAAAAATTATGAGTTTGGTGGTCCCTGAGGTCCAAAAAGTTGGTGCCCCCTGATCAAGAACATACCCACCAACACTGACAAGATATGCTACAAGCATATAAATAGAGAGCAAGGCCCTCTCCCTTCTAGCACTGATGATGTTACCTAGCTGGGTAATTAAACATGTGCAAGAAAACAACCAAGCTCAGAGAGCACCAAAGAACCCAAGTTCAACCCTGAGCCACAAATATTACCTTCTATTAGTAACTCATATTATACATTTACTATTACTATATTGTATTGGCTTATCTATGATATCTATGTGATATTGATAAATTGCCTAAAATCAATCTTGTTTCTAGTCTAGTCTAGTCTAGCAAAATTGTATTTTGGATTATGTAAAACCATATCTGTAATAATTTCAGTTCCAGACTATTTCTTATGGAGCATTTTTGCATTTTGTCTTCCTTCCTGCTCAGCAGAATTTTAAAGAACTGAGATACCAGAATGATTTGTGCAACCTCCGCTTTTACAAGAACAAAATTCCCTTTAAACCTGATGGTAAGTAATTGGTACTATGATCAATGCATTATTTATACATAGTTCAGTTTCAGACCTATTTAAATCAGATGGCCCAAATGAGTTCTACTTTGCATTTAGCTTTATAGCTCTATCTTGTGTACATTGACATGGAAGTATTTTATTAATTTATTTATTGAATTTATTACTTGTGTGTGTGTGTGTGTGTGTGTGTGAGGCGGGGGGTGGAGAGAGAGAGAGAGATGCCACTCACGCATCTCCAGAATTGTAAAGCCTACAAAATTGAAATTTGGCACATATGTTCCTCTTGGCTTCTAGGTGCTCACTAAGAAAGGATTTTTCGAATTGACCATCAGAGCATTAATATTTTGTATATTATTATTAACACGCTCTGATGCTAAGGAGTTCTACTCCCCCTCCCCATCTGAAAAGAAATCTGTTCCAAATGCAAAACCACAAGCAGAGGAGTTTCAGTTTCAGCTTTAGTTTCACAGCACCAAGCAGCTTTAGTACAGAACAGATGAACAGAAAAGCCACACCCCAGCTCCTTGTTGTCTCCTTCTTGCTCACCCAGCAAATATTGTTTCAGTTTCCAAACAGCCCTAAACTCTCTCACACTGACGGGACACTAGCCAGATGAAAACCAATGGATGCTGCTAGCCAGAGGCAGATTTTTTCCCCTTATTTTCCTCTCCAAAAACTAAGCCCAACCACATAGTTTCATAGTGAAGTATGGGTATTGTGCTATTAATATAATAAAATCCCCCCCCCCAGCTCCTCCGACAGCAGATCACATGAGCCATTTGATGGACTCCATCCCCCTCTGGGTTCCCGAGGCCCGCTGGCAGAACCAGGTCTTCAGTGCCTTCTGGAAAAGTGTTAGAGTGGGGGCTGTTGTAATCTCTGGGAAAATGAAGTTCCAGCGAGAGGGAGCCACCACAGAGAAGGCCCTTCTTCTGGGTCCCTCCAGGTGTATATCCCGCAGCATCCCCTGCTTTAGTAAGACAGTTGCGTTTATTTCTCCTTCATCTTGTTTTCCAGGGTTCTCATCATGACTTTCTCCCCCAAAATAGGTCCTTGAGGCATTACCCTGAGTTTAAAACTTAGAACATCAAAGTATGTGGCTGCAGTGAGGATTTGCTGTCCTACTTAATGGAGGAAAGAGATCAAAAATCCTTCCAGTGAGATTCAGCTTTAGGTTCTCTAGAAGTCTCAGGAAACCTCATGATCTTCTTGAAGGTCTTTTTTGGCACCATGATTCTGAAGTTAGCTTTGCATCACTGACAGTCTATGTACTTAGAATCATAGAAGGTAGAAGAGACCTTAGAGGTTTTCAACTGGTAAAGAAGGGCAAAGGACTTATTGTTTGATCTTTGGCTACAGTTAATCTCATATATTTCCTTATCCTTCAACCATTGAAAGAATATTAATGTATTCATTTTAGCAATAAGTACTAACCTAAAAACAATGCTTTTTATTTTATTTTTACCTTTACTTATGTTTACACTTCATTCCTGAATGTTATTTAGAAAGTTATGTTCCTTGGTATATTTATAGGGGTTTATATTGAAGAGGTCCTGAATAAATGGAAAGGAGATTATGAAAAGTTGGAACACAATCACACCTACATACAGTGGTTGGTATCTTTTATTTTTTTAATTTCTTTTTAATAAACTGGTTAAAGCCATTTCAGTTTCAGAAAAACTTGTATGTCTGTTTTGAATGTAGGTTGTTTCCACTCCGAGAGCAAGGACTGAATTTCTATGCAAAAGAATTAACAACCTGTGAAATTGAGGTAAAGCATCTAATTTATAATGTAATGCTAATACTTAAACATTTAAACTGGAATACTTTTATATATTTAATGCTCTTGATGTTTGTGCATTCTTGTAAAAAAAAAATCTGTTACAGGAGTTCAAAAAAACGAAAGAAGCGATTCGAAGATTCCTATTAGCTTACAAAATGATGCTGGAGTTTTTCGGGATAAAATTAATTGATAAAACTGGGAATGTAGCACGAGCTGCTAACTGGCAAGAAAGATTCCAGCACTTGAATGAGTAAGTTATATCTTCAGAAAATGCTTGAGATCTGTTAGTATCAAAACCAGGCAATTCTCTCCAGGTTTGTTTTTCTAAGCAGTTACATACTTTACTTCCTTCTTGGTCATAAATTGTGATGGTTGTAAATTAAGGTGGTTCACTTATGGACATTGTTTTGCCGAAAGCTGGATGTAAGTGCCAATTTTTTGGCAAAAATGCAATAAAATGTAGTTTTGTGACTGAACACTACAAACAAACATAAATGTGGACATGTTGCCGAATGTCCAAAGTTTGGTCATGTCCAAAGTTTGGTCATAAGGGGAACACAACCGTTCAAACTTCAAATTCAGGTTGTAAGTAGCCCCAAGATTAGAACTTTAAAGAGTCATAAGTTAAGGAGTACATATATGATGAATATGCTCAATGATATCCAAGGCAGAAGTATACATAATAGGCAAGGTTCATCTTATTTTCCTCACCTTATTTTCTGATTCCAAGCCAGATACACTCTTATCTTTCTTCTTTTATATAGTGATGTTTTCTCCCACATTAAAAAAGAGATGTAACATCAGTTTTATCAAGACGTAGAATACAATGAATATAGCATGGATACATATTATTTATCTGTATGAGAATAGAAAGGTACTTCTCGGAAACATAATGTTTCCATAATGGAGTCCCTGTATACTTGTTCCTCGTTTGTTGATAATGATATTTGGCTTGAACAGTGATGTCATTATCGTAACCTTTGCTTGTCTATGCATCATTGGGTGTTCCTAGGATAAACAAATGTTGAAGGTAGGTTTAAGAGGTGACATCTTTCAGACACAATGCATGAATCAATGGTGCTAATTTTCTCCAAATTCTTTTAGGAAGAATAAAGTCAAGTGTTGTCCTTGACTCATTAGTAGCATAAAAGTTAGAAAGACTAAACTATTTGTCAGCTAAATGTTACAGAACCTGGACCTAACCTGATCTGAATTCTGTCTATTCTGGAACCAAAATATTCTCCAGAAGCATCTGGTTCAACTGCTTTTACCTATACACTTGGTTGTTTAACTTCTATATTCATAGTCATGGCCTTTGCTAAGCTTAATTTTTGTCCTCTAACTTTGCCCATTGATCAATTTCCATTCTTATTTATAAGAAATAATCATGGAGATTCTGTAGCCATCCCATTTATGATACATACCGGCTCTATAGATGCTTAGCAGCACTTGTAACCTTTGGCTTTAGAAAATCTCTTAAAATTAACTATTCAAAAATAAGTTTCGTCTCAATTAATAATTAATATTAGAGCATTTGATCAAGGATTGGTATGTTACTATTTAAGCATTCATTTCTAACTTTTCACTGTTGGAATAATCAGTTACATGAATGCTGAATAAGAACCCCCGAGGCCCCTAGTGGGATTCTTAAATATACACACCATCCAATCAATAATTGTATTCCTGCAGCCATTAAATTATATAAAGCCAAGATCATGGGCTTGCTGATATATGGTGCCCAGGTATGGGTTTACCCCTCTCTCTCTTGGGAGCTATTCAGTCTAGACTTTTAAAAATCTCTTTCATGTTCCTCTCTCAACCTCAAAAGCTCTTACATAGTATGTATGGTTGTATCTCACTTGGGACCTGCCTAAGAAAATGCCATGTCAGTTTCTCATTGAAAATAATGTTCTAGAGAGCATCTGTAGGCAGGCACCCTGACTCTGATTTGGTATATTTTGGCTATATCGTTCTTTGGACCATCAAGGTTTTGGTTATGGAGGATTTGGCATTTAGGTCTTCAGAGTGACAGAGCTAAATTTACTCATTTTCATTATCATGCAATTACTGATCCCTCTTGGACAATCCTTAGATATTTTTATAATATCTTACGTTTCTTACATTGGCCTAAATTGATGCATTGCTTATTAGGACGACACTAGGCAGATAAATTAGTCTTCCATATGGTAACCATATTTGTGTATATTCAGACACAGAAGTTGAGTCACTGAATTATATTCTTTAAATTGTCTGTTCAGTCACTCATAGCATTTGGCAAAAACCTGATTGTCAGAAATCTTAGTCATTTGAGTAATAGCTTTCTCATTTCCCTCTGCAAGACCAAATATGGCAACCACTAAAAAGATTGCCAACTTTTTAACAACAACCATAGCTTGCAGAAATTTGCCTGATAACCCCTTTTTAGTACCAATTGTCTCAGACCCAGTTTATCATGTGGTTCTAAGTTCTCTTTTTGTTGTTTATTGATCTCTGACCATCAATCAATCAGAGAAGAGGAATTCTACTTTTGTCAGATTTATAGTCCATAACATATAACAGATGATTGCAACTTATCTAGAAGACCTTTCATTTGATACTTTACATCCAATCCTTATTTCATCAAGGGTACAAGTAGTGATGATTTTTCAGCTACATTTTTTTCCTCTGAGATAATTATTTTTTTTGTCCTGTCATTTTGAATCCGACTTATCTTTCTTTGCAGATCCCAACACAATTATCTGAGAATCACCCGGATTCTGAAGAGTCTTGGTGAACTTGGTTATGAGAGTTTCAAGCCTCCTCTCGTGAAATTAATTCTACATGAGGCTCTGGTGGAAGAAACCATTCCCAACATTAAACAGAGCGCTCTTGAATATTTTGTCTACACCATTAGAGATCGAAGAGAGAGGAGAAAACTTCTACGGTTTGCCCAACAGCACTACACACCTTCTGACCATTTCATATGGGGACCACCAAAGAAACAGAAGCCAGAAGGGAGCAAACCAAGTAAAAAGCTGGCTTCACCAGTGTCCCTTCGCAACAGCTCTACTTGTAAGCATAAAAAGACAAAAGAGCTCAAGAACGTATCTGAAATTTGTAACTCAAGGAATAAAACAAATGACGAGAAAAAAACAGAGCATATTAAAAACGGTACAGATAGTGATCAGAGTAAGAAAACTGGCTCACCTGAAGTTGTTAAGCAGAGCAGTATGGTAAAAAATAGTAGTGCTGAATGTCACAACTCTAAAATGGACATTGTTGAGCCTTTGAATCAGAAGGAGACTATTTCTCACTTAAAAAAACATAAAGGCAAAAACAAGGAAAACGTTAGCCAAGACTGTAAACATTTGGAAGATATAGAAAAAGATTCGTGTGAGACTAAAAATGATTCAACAAATATATCATCGGATATGCAAGACAATATATGTAAGGATAAAAACCTGGCGAGTTCATCTGTAAGAAATAAAGAGTGAAATCTTCTACTGCATATGACAAAATGGGTTTTCGCTAGTAGAAAATTGTTAAGAAACAAGAGGTCTTTGGTACTGGATCCAGTGCTGGCTACATCAGCTTAACCTCGGTGGGGTTGTGGCTTCTTTAATTTGTTTACGGTTTGTACTTCTCCCAGCTGTGTATTAAGCTTACAAACTGCATATTGCTAAAGTCTTAAGAAAAAAACTCGTTCCTTTAAATCTGTTTTCTATGCATAAAAATATTAACATTGATTTTTAATGTGTATTTCATTTAAACTCTTTTAATGAATTTTAAGGTTTTGTTTTCAAAATATGGATGCGAGATAGACTTCCAAGGAGCCAAAGTTAATGTCTCTTCAGCAGATAACTATGCTAATGTTTATAGAGTGCCTACGACTACTTAAAAATGGGAATTTAGCTGTATTCTTATTTAACACAGAAAGTGGACCTCAGAGACTTGAGCTAAAGTCAAGCACAGCCTTGAATCACACTGGGCAAACTATATTAGTTCAGCTCTTTTTGAAGCTTGACTATAAGGACCCGTAATTAATTTCCCTAGGTTATTATGAGAAAATACAGAAGTAGCAAATTGCTACCATTTGCATACTAGCCTCCCAACATATTCTTAGTTTTGTTACTGCCATTTCTCTTGATATCTCCTCTAATACAGTGTACTGAATGAAGTGTTGGAAAAGTAGGATTCAGAAGTGCTAAGAGAGTACAGCATTTAAATGTTTTAAAATAAATAATAAAACCTGGTATGATATTCCAAATGAAAGGTTGGGCAGGGAATACATTTATCAGCAAAATTCTTGCGAATGTAAAATTGGATAAAAATGTGTTCTGGTTGCATGCTTTCTGCTTTCCATTATTATCTCACTTCATCCCTCACCCTTTTTGTTTCTGGTTTGTTTGTTTGTTTTTGCATAGAGCTGCACACCTCTGAGAATGAAGGTAAGCATTTCGTCCATGTTTACTTGAGTATCTGGAGGGAATCATTCCACTTGAGAGATTTCATTCCTGTGGATAGAGGCTTTTGTATAAAACACAGAAAAATTTAAAAGTTTAAAATTTTTTAAAAAGACCAAAAAAGTTGGTGTAGCCAGCTTTTCTAGGGCAGAAAAACACTGTTTTAAGTATGACCTTCCTATAATTTCAGAATGGATTTTAAAAAGCCCTTATATACAGGAGCTTTCATCTTTTCTCCCAACATCCCTGAAAATTCCTACCAACAATGGGAATCTACTGAAGGAAAACCACCTTAGCATGTTGATATTTGCGCAAGGAATCTCACTGTTTCTTGCTTCTCCCTCTCTTCACCTCTGACCCAGGAAGTATTCCCAGGGAAGGAGCTACATGTCTAAAAGTTGAAGTCTATTAATGAGAAGGACTCAGAAGATGTTGCCAGAGCTAGGAAGAGTCTTTTTCAAAGAATCATAGCTCTCTATCAACATCATAATTATAGCACTCTTAATATAAACAGTTTAATTATCCTTCCCCGAATCAAAAGACCTTGTAGAAGGAAAGAGCAGAGAATGTGATAAAATTGCGGTCTATGTGATTGAGCTTATTTCTGATACTAGTTTGGGTTAAGAGCAGGAAAGAGCTTGTATGTATGTGTTAGCGCTTTTCTCCCACAAAATCAAGGAGTGTTTGCATGACATGCTAAAGTACAGGTAGTCCTCGGCTTACAACCACAATTATTTGCCAAATCATTTGAAGTTACAAATTCACCAAATAAAGTGATTCATGACTGCTCCTCATGTTTAATGACTGTTACAGCATTCCTGAGATCGTGTAATCAAAATGTGGGTGCTTAGCAATTGGTTTGTATTTAGTGGTTCATTTCAGCCTCCCGGGATCATGTGAACTTCATTTACGACCTTCCCAGTCAGCTTCCAACAAACAAAGTCTATGGGAAAGGCTGTCTTTGCTTAATGTCCGCATGATTCACTGAACAACTGCTTCGCAGCTATGGCAAAAGAAAGTTTTAAGTTGCATGACTCAACTTAAAAACCATCCTGCTTAAGCAATGGGAATTCTGATCGTAAATTAAGAACTAACTGTAAAGTAAGAGGGGAAGGAGGAGGAGTAATATAGATGGTGGTTGAGACATAAATAATACATTGCTACCAACCCACCTATCCCACAATGGTTTTGTCTTAAACCAGGTGCTCCAAGTCAGCCCTGTAGTGGGGCCATGGAAAAAGAGGGTTAAATATGTCACCATGGTGTCAGGGCACATTATTCTAGGTACTTGTTTCTGATTATTTTTCTCATTTTTACTCTCTCTGCCCATAACACTCAGATTGCAGCTATATAGAATAAAATGGACATAAAGACCCTGACCGCAGTTAAAAAAAGTAGGAAGTGATAGTCGCTTATGGAAGTGAGCTTACGGCCTGACTGGTAATCTGCTATTGGTTTATAGAAGTTCAAAAAAAGGTAACATTAGGCTGCAAACACAGCTCATCAGTCCTGAAACTCATAATCTAGTAGAAAAAGTAAATAAACTCCCAAGTAATACGAATGTGCTATTAAGCTCTGTTTTCTCCCACTTCAGAAAATTCTGCTTTTGGCACCATATTCTGTTAAAATAATTCGAATGCAGCTTTTAGAAAACTTGACTCCCAAGTGTCCAGTGCATTGTCAATTACTGGAATTCAGTGAGCAGCAGCATGCCCCAACAAAGATTTGGTGGGCCTGTGCTGAGAATACTTGCATACATTTTGTCGTTGATGCACAAAAACAAAAAATAATTGCAAATAAAGCTTTTGTGTATTTGTTGCTCCCATTCTCCAGCATTGCTGTATGCCAACTGTGATTGGGTAGTCTTCTGTCTGCAAGCTTGCAGGTTACATGCATTAAAGTATAACAGTATTGGATCCCTATTTCTTAAGATTTTTCTTAAATATAAGCAATGCTGCCTTTTTGAAATGTGCACACTTTTTAAAAAAAGTACAGATTGAATTTTGTCCTGTTAATGTCAAAAGTATAATTAAACTTGTATTCCTGTCTTTGGGTCTGACTTAGTAGATTGTTTTACAAGCATATGGCATGGAGGTGGGGAATTGGTACAAATTCTGCTTTGATAGTGATTCTTTTAGATGCTATACATGTGGCTGAGGCGCTTGCCAAACATGTATACCACGAAGCAGCTTGCAGATTTTTTCTGTTTTGTGTTTTTTTTGGTAAAACCAAGGAACTCTTTATGAATGCTTCATACTCTGTCACTTCTTGGCTGCCTTTCAATGCTGGCATGCAGCAATCTCTAGCAACAACAAACATATAAAATGGCAGCACAATACAAGGTTCCTTAAATAAAGGAATATTAGAAATTATTTTGTAATCAAACATTATACCTCCCTCTCTGTTACGTACACCCACACTCCTACTACCCATTCACACAAAAAATGATGCAATTTCATTTTCAATCTTTGCTGGCTCAGTGTTGTGATTCAAACTCGGGCTGCAAACATTGGTTTTTAAGCTCTGGAATCTTAGCTATTTCCTCTTTATTTCTGGAGGCAGGTTTCTTCTGCATAGTTCCCTCATCAGTTAAGATCAGACCAGCTTCTTAGGTGCAATCACCATCAAGGAAACCAGCTTTTACCTGCTGCTGCAGCAGCACTTATGGTGCAGCAGGCAAAAACTGGTTTCCTTGATAGTGATTGCACCTAAGCTTCTGCATGTTGTATCTAAACAAAGTATCTATTCTGGGCATAGGAATGGAAAGTGCAAAGCCTTTATTCTCATTAAAAGCTGCTTTGATTTCTTTTGTGTTTGATGTTGAGAATTCAGTATGTTTCTCTATTTCAGTAGCTTTGTTTTATGTGCAACAACCGCTTCTTATTAAAGAAGAGAGGTGTAAATAGAGGTGAAAGTTAATTGGAGGGAAATGCAATTGGTTACAGTAGAGAGATCTGCATTCAAAATAACTACGCCAACAACATGAGCTTGTCTGACCCCTTGGTTTAAATGCAATGACCAGAACATAATTTCCCTTTTTTTTTAAAAAAAACCAAGTATTTTTGTGCTTGGTGGGTACATTTTCTTCTGCCAGCACCTCATATACCTCCTGGTGGAAGCTTGAGACTTTGGCAAGGTACAAAAATCAGAACATTCCCAAAGAAGGATACAACACTTCAAGGGCATAATGATTTTCCTTTAGTACTGAAATATTCAAGTTTCACCTACTAGATATGGATTTTGTCATTTAATAATAATACAGTTCAGTGTGTAATAAGTGGAGGTGTGCATCACACACAGAACACAAAGAGCTTTGCTTTCAACTCGTAGTATTTGGGGAGTTTTGCCAAATGGTCCTTGATAGACTGTGGTTTGGGAGAACCAAAACTCAGAACGTTTTTATTCTTCCAGCTACAATCTGGGGGGGGGGGGGCTCCCCCACCCCTCTCCCTGTCTTCTGCATTGTCTCATATGTTAGCCCAGTGGCCCCCAACCTTTTGGACACCAAGGACTGGTTCCGTAGAAGTTTTTCTGTGGACAGAAGGGCCTGCATCCCATGAATGGGATGCAGCCCAATTTCTGGCATGCTGCAGCCCAGTCCTGGTCCATGAACTGGAGGTTGGGGTGGCTAGCCTACTGATTTTCCCAGCACTTCCCCTTTCTCTACCTTCCCATATCTGCTGTTTATGGCCTGGCCTCTTTCCCATCTTCCTCCCCTAATCACTGATCCACCTGCAACTGGCTGTTCCACATTGAAACAAGTCACACTTTCCCAGTAATAAGTTGCTTCACGGCTCCTACGGTACGGTGAACTACCATTATAAAAGCACATCTTGTTCATTAAAAAGAACCACTTTTATTGAAACTGAGCGTATGCTTCATTCATTGGGAAGAAGCAGAACTCTGGCTTAATTTGGTTTGAATAACGTAAGATAATAAGTACTGTTTGACAACATTATAAATAGCTTAACTTTAGGTTTTGGACCCCTGCATTATACATTGTACAGCATGTTGCATTCGGCAAACATGCCCATAGATGTGTTTTTGTCACACATGTGCTAGAGACAAAGTCCCACTGACAACAGAAAAGACCTAGTTCTGAGTAAACAGTGAAACACTGTTGGTTAGACATTCGCGATTTGGGAATCATGTTTAGCTCAAAGTCTTACTGTTTAGAAACAAAGAAAACTCAATGTCATTCGTGTGGTGGTGTTCTCTCTAATCCAGC